ACCTCCATAATAAAGAGACAGAGAGAGGGGGAGATTTAAAAACTGCTCCAGCAGTAGTGTGACACAGATTTGTGGGTTTTGGAGAGTGACTTTCCAAAGAAGCTGCTGGCAGAGTGTGGAGGTGGGTGGGGCGTTGGTCCCCTACGTGGCTGTTGGGGTGGGGCTTGCATTGATGGTGTACGCTGCCCACGTGGGGGGGTTCTACTTTATGAGGCTGATGGTGTGGTCCAGGCCTACAGTGTAAAGGTCAGGGGTCAGGCTCTATGGGTTCAAATTCTGACCTTGGATCAATTATTTGATATCTTTGGACTGTAGCTTCCTACTCTGTGAATTGAAGCCAATGGGACCTTTCTCTTGTTGTTGGTAAGGAGGAATCACATAGCATGGAGCCTGCCACTCACAGCTGTTGTCCTTGCTTTACAGAGGTTGTTAGAACAGGGGATGGAGGGCCAAGATACCCCTTTAAGGTATCTGGTCTGCATTTTCGGTGCGAGGAGTGGAGGGGGCATGTGATCAGCTTCAGCTGCATTGCCAGCATCTTCCGGCCTTCTGTGTCACCAACATCTGCACCTGAGTGGTGCAACATGGCCATCAAGGTGGCAAAAGGGTTTTTACCTAATTCCCAGGGGCTGTAGCCGAGAACAAAAAATGCTAAGAATCCCCACAACCTAAGTCTAGAGGACCTAAGCTGTGGGGACAGCCTCCCCCCTTCATCCCCCTACCCCAGCTTTTTACAAAGTCTCCATAAATAGGACCCATGATCCCCCCTCCACCCTGAAGGTCCACCTTCTGAGTCCTCAGCTACCGAGAAGTGCCAGCCTTGGGTCCTCCCCATGTCTGAGGCTGCAGACAGCAGCCTGGATTTTCCCACAGGAGAACAGAACCAAAGGTCGCCAGCGCAAACACCTAAGGCAAAGCCTTTTCCTGCTGCCCTCAGGCCCCACCCCTAGGGAGAGGACAGGGCTGGGGGTCCCAGGCGTACCTCACCTCCAGCCCTGCCCGTGGGGCCACCAGCACACCCCTTACCTGCACCACCATGTAGTAGAGGAGGAAGAGGAAGTACACAAGCTCGGCCGCCACCACGAAGGGGTGCCAGCCGTCAGTGAAGGGGTACAGGCGGAGGCTCTGCAAGGCCGCGTGTGTGAAGAAGGTGCCTGGGGAAGCAAAGTGCACTCAGCTCACCCATGGCCACCCGCCCTCTCACAGCAGGGGCTTCTGCCTAGAGGCCATCAAGTGAGATGTCTCAAGTCAGGCCCTTCTGAGGGTTGGCTGGGGCAGGGGAGAGGAGGAAAGGGCTTGAGACCCAAAAACACAGGGTAGATGCCTAGAGGCCAAAGATAGTGGACACACCAGAAGGTCCACCCTCACCCTCTGCATTGGGAGTCACTGTTTGGGCACATGGTCACCTCCAGCAAAGCACCCACTGCATGACAATTCACTCCAGCTTGGCGCATTTAAAGCCATTTCATCTAAAGACCTTGCACTGCCTGGCTTAGGGGCTCACACCTGTAATCCCAGCACTTTGGGAGGCTGAGGTGGGAAGATCTCTTGAGCTCAGGAGTTCGAAACCAGCCTGAGCAAGAGTAAGACCCTGTCTCTACTAAAAATAGAGTAACCATCATAGTGGTGAGTGCCTGGAGTCTCAGCTACTCAGGAGGCTGAGGCAGGAGGATCCCTTAAGCCCAACAGTTTGAGGTTGCTGTGAGCTATGGCGCCACAGCACTCTACCCAGGGCAACAGAGTGAGACTCTATCTCAAAAATAAATTAAATTAAATAATAAACAAGTAAATAAACACACTTCACTGAAAATTAATTTATCTAATGGCCAATATGTCTAAGTGAAAGTCAACTTTCATTTAAATCATTTTCATCCATTTGAGTGTCTTTTTCTTATTTTTTTTGTTTTTGCTTTTTTGTTTTGTAATGATTTGGGGGTAAGGATGTTTTGAAGCCAATTTGACCAGTATAGTTACTATGGTTCTACGAAGACAAAGGATCCCCAAGGGCAACAGAATGAGGAGAAGGAAATAATCTGAGTCCTTGACCGCATCAGTGATCTGCTGAGTCACCCAGATCCGAAGCCCACCTCATATTTTCATGTGGAGAAACGTGTAATTCAATCAGGTGTGAGTTTGGGTAAGTTGTTTAAAAGGTTAACTTGTTTAAAGCCAAAAAGATGGCAAAAAGAAATAGGAAAACATGTGCGGTACCTGTGCCTCAAAGGAGTAGGGCATTTAGGCTGGAGGAGCCCTAATGTGTTACCTTTGGGGGCCCAGGGAGGAGTAGGTAGTAGCTGTGAGGAGAACCAAGACCCACCCCCAAGTTTCCTGAAGATTTGCCCTGGAACTCTGGCCTTGAGGTGGCAGCATCCAGCTGGCTCAGGAGTCTTCCCCCTCACCCAGGGGAAGGGCAGTGTGTTCTAGAAAGCTACAGAGGGTTCCCAGGCGAGGCTGCCCACCCAGTGCACTTGTCTCCAGGGTCAGTGTGACAACGCAGAACAGATTGACGTTGGCATTGTAGACGGTGAACTCCACAAACACAGCTCTGGTCAGCGTATCCAGCCAGGTGTTGTCAAAGAGATACTGGAGTGTTCTGTAGGAGAGAGGGACATTTGGGGCATTTCCATCCTGCAGAGGCTTCCCTGTCCCCTCAGTCCCTTGATGAGGCTGGGGCTTCCAGCCTAAACTTCTCTTTCTGCTTTCACTCTCCTCCCAGGGCCACCAGGCCACTGCCACTGGGAGTGGTCACAGTTTGAGGTCTGTGGTGAGGCACTCTCTCTCAATCCCCAGAGCAGACCTTCACCATCATCTGTGAAATGCAGATTCTCAGGCCCACCCTCCCCCTGACCCCTCAAACTCTGAATCTGAAACTCTGGGGTGCAGCCCAGGATGGGTGTTTCGATGAGACCTCTAGGGGATTCGGATGTTTTTTAAAGTGTGAGGTTCCCTGGTAGTAGAGGAGGGACACAAGGCATCGGGGGACTTAGGCATGCAACTGCCACAGTAGCTATGGAGGTCCCTTCTGGGCAGGAAGCTCCCATGACACCAGTTCCTGGAGCTCTGACCACCTGGTGTGATGGGAAGAGCA